GATTTGCCTCATTCCGCCGCCTCGGGCCGGAGGCGCCGGTGGACTCGGTCTGGATCTAAAACGCAGGTCTTGGATCTCCCTGGGCGGGCTTGTGGGAATATGCCTCGCGTCGAGAATGGAGAGTCTTCGTTTTGGGGTACAGGCCCTCCGTTTACCTTCCCTGTCCCCGCTGCCGCCATCCCCTTGTGCCCTAACCTAGGGTCCAAGGGCAGGCCCCCGGTCAGTGAAGACGTCTCGCCATTCGTGGCAATCGTGCGGCCGGGCCTGACTCCCTTTCCCGCCCTCGTCTTGCCGGGAGCGGGGGACCAGGGGATGGAGTGGGGAGGGCGCTGCTTACCCACCCCGCGCTGCGCTACGACTCCACACGCCGGGGGCGGGGGGCGGGAAATCAGGCTGACTTCAGTGGTTTCATCCCCCGATTCATGTTAAGCGCACCCCTGGCTTCTCGTGACTGGCTGCTGGGAGTCCTGGCTTTGACAGCAGATGGGGATCTGCTTCCTCTTCTGTTTCGCGACTCTCCCGGTGTGACCTTGGGCAGGTAGCTTTAAACCTCGCCAAGGCTCAGTTTCCCCATCAATAAAATGGCGCCCAGGCAGGAGTGAGAGCAGTAGCCTCCGAGTAGATGCCAGACGCCTAGCGACCCTCTGCCAGAAAGACCTAGGGCCCTGGAAACTCACAGGGGCGGCTCCACCCTGTCTATCGGATCTTTGAGCCGGAGGTGAGTTTTGCTTGTTTATTTTAGACCGTAGAAAGCGGCCGCATCTTTCTGCCTGCACCTGGGGAATGCGAACTGCAGGCCTTTGCGTTGGCTGCCCAACGCTTAACCTACTGTGGGCTCCTTGAATATAGCGCTACATGTGAAAATAGTCACTTAATGTTGCTTAGTGACACATAGCTTTAATTGGTCTCAAGGCAATAAAATTAGGTTCCTAGGCCTGGTATCTCAGGTCTCCCCATTGCAAACACACACAGCCTCTCCCACTTCAACAAAACAACTTGCTGCTTCCGGTTTGAGAGATCTCCAGCCCTGAACAAATGGGCTCAATTTAAGCATAGGTTTTCTGTTTTATTCCGGGGGTGGGGGGGGTGGGGTGGGGTGCCATCTGGAAAGGGGGGCGTTTTATGAATGTTTCCCAAGTTCCTTTTGTAAGTATTTGGGGATCTCCTGGTGGATGGGGGTGAAGTCAAAGATTCTAGCTTGGCTGCCTGGATCCTGTCATCTGTCTGTGGTAGATACACTGCCTTACCCACTCCAACTCTTTTGCCAGGAACCAGCTCTTTAGTGAGGATTTTAGTCTGGGGAATTTTGGGCAGGGGCAGGACACAACCCAACAGCTGGGGGCAGTTTGAGCTGCATGAGGATGCATGAAGCATGTATGGGTGTGAGTAGTGAGTATATGCACCTTTACAGGAAAGGTGCGTTAAAGAGATCCTTACTTCCTTGTAGAAAGGAGACTTGGAGTGCGGTGAGCCACAGGCACATGGCTGGAGAAGTTGCTGCTGTAAACTTCCATTAAGAGTCCCAGGACCCAAAATGAGAGGTGTTTAGAGTCTCTGGGTTGGAGTATGCACCCACACTCTACTGCACCTGGGTTTCAGGTCTCAGACCTGGTGGAGGGTCTCAGGGGCCCAGTGGCTTCTCTGAGTAAGAGGGGTGGGGAAATAAAGGACTCCTCTCAAATATGAAAAAAATGATACTCAAATTGTGGGCCAGGCTGTCTATTAAGTCACACCTCTGTGTGGTGAGCATTGTTTATCACCACATCTCCAGTGTACAGGCAGGCCTTTTTAAAGCGTCTCAGACCCTCCCTGCTGCCTAGGTAGTTAACTGGCATGACCCTGGTCTCCCTTCTTGGGATACATGAGCTGCTTGGGTGACAGGACAAGAGCTGTCCTGGTCACCATCCAATCCCCTGCTTTCTGAGTGAGCAGGTAGGATGCTCTGTCCATGAGGGGTCATCAGCTGCGGCCTCATGCGGATGGTAGGGGCATGCTGGGAACCTCAGCAGGTGAAGACACTGGGAACCACAATAGCCCAAACTCCAGGAACTTTGCCATCTGCTAGGCCAGCGGTTCTCAGCCTGTGGGTTGTGACCCCTTTGGGGGTTGAAGGACCCTTTCACAGAGGTTACCAATACATAACAGTAGCAAATTGACAGTTAAGAAATAGCAACAAAAATAATGTTATGGTTGGGGGGTAACCACAACATGAAGAACTGTATGAAAGGGTCGTGGCTCTAGGGTGTTGGGTGGTTTCCCAGATTGGCCCACAGTGGAGATGACCTCTGGCAGGTTGGGCTTTGTAACTAAGGAAAAGGAATCGGGTGTCTATTCTGGGTGAGCAGGGCAGTGGCTGGCAAGCTCTGGGCTGCCGAGCCGGGCGATAGATGGCACTGGTCCTCCACTGAGCTGCCATGTGGGAGAGTTGACTGTAGAGGGAGTCGAAGATAAGCAGTGAATCCTTTCAGGTTCCGTTCTGGCATTTGGAAATGAAACTGTGGCTACTTTTTCCAAGATGAGATTAGGAAGAGCCCCTGCACATTTTTACATTTTCCTCTTGAGCTGTGTAGGGTGTGACTATGATGCACCTTTGCAGAAAGCGGAGCAGGCTGGTTGGCAAGCAGCCTGGCACAGGGAGGAGCAGGGGGAGACCACGCTGGTGGGCTCAGGTCGTGTGTATGCTGGTGGCACTGCTGCAGAGCTCTGGGAAACAGCAAGAGAACAGTGGTTCTTTGAGGAAACCCTTCCTTTGAAGTCAGCTACCTGGCTGCCTCACTCCTGCCCACACTTGTGCGTGGCCTTTGGTCTTGGATTAAAGTCACAGAAAGATCAAGCACAGAATCTCTTAGCCCCAGAACCGCTCCGGGCTGGGTGTCCAATGCTGGTTTGTACCCAGTTGGCCCTATCCTGAAATGTGAAAAAAAAGAAAGTTTCGTCGAAGCTTGTGTTTGTTTTTAACTTTATACCTTATTAAAAAAAACTTTTTTTTTTTACCGGCATATGGTTCACATATTGACGATTCATTACTTCAATTTAACTTTTCTTTCCCAAGGGTAGGTCCTAACAAGCCTCTAAGCTGCTGGGGGCCCTTCGCGCACAGTTCCTTGTTTTATCTTGTCTCTCCTCCGCTTGAGCCAAGATGGGCTTCTGCAAGTCCAGGACAGAGAGAGACATCCTGCCAGGCACCCCTCTCTTTGGGGTTGGACTTTTCTTCAGCCCCAAGGTCAAGAGTGGGAGGGTACAAAGCTATTCCCAGGGCCCAGGACCTCACTGCCACCGTGCGTGCACTCATTGCCCTCTCTTCAGGCAACCCCCATGTTGACAGTAATCTACTGTATATAGCATTCGACTGCTAACCACAAGGTCGGTGGTTCAAACTCACCAGCTACTCTGAAGGAAGAAGATGAGGCTGTACACTTCTATAAAAATCAACAGCCTAAGAATTCTGTATAGGGTTGCTGTGAATCTGAATCTTGGTGGCCTTGAATTACTTTTATGGACTCCCAACGGGAGCCCTTTGGTGGTACAAATGGTTAACATACTGGGCTGCTCACCTTAAGGTTCAGAGTTCAAGTCCACCCAGAAGTGCCTTGGAAGAAAGGTCTGGTAACTGCCTTCCAAAATACCAATCACTGGAAACCCTATAACATTCTCAGGGTTGGCAGGAGACAGAATTGGTGGCAGTTGGTTGGTGCCAATTCCCCTGTTCTCATGCCCACTCCTAGTCCCATAAATACCTCCTTCTCAAATAGCCACTATGGGGAATTTTATATTAATCATGCCCGGCCATTAAAAAAAATGTGTTTACCACATTCTTATGTAAGCCAACAAAGCATAGTATTGCTTCAGGTTAATTGCTGGTGAATTTAGTTTTGGGGTGCACTAAGTTCATCTTAGGGGCCTTGGAAACTGCATCTGGTCGCTGATCGTCACGACTCCATGGTGGCGGGCTGGGGTAGGTTTGGGTTTTTCTGGCAGCACAGTTGCTTGAGTCTTCCGTTGCCAACCGAAAGGTGAGTGGCTGCAACCCGCCACAGAAGGAAGGAAGGAGTGGCCCAGTGCTTCCACAAAGACTCCCAGCTGTGCAAGCCCCGTGGGACCATTCATGGTGCTCTCAGGCAGCTGAGGCCCAGGGCGAGGTAGCCGTTCTGGTTCTGTTCCTTTGTGTTCTTAGTGATACTGTGTCGGATGGGGGTTTTCTGCAACGTAGTTGTTTTGTTTCTTTTCACCCGACATGATTTTAAGATGCTGCTGCAGTGTAGGTTGTGGCCACTGTCAATTGTGTTTTGTTCTCTTTTGTTTTTAAAATTCTTTCTGTTTTACCACCCAAACAGCAGGGTTGATCCAGTTTCCTTTTGCTCTTGAGCGGTTCTGGTCATATGAGGGGCACCTGGAACGGAAGACGCTCTCAGATGGTTCCTGTGCACCCAGGCATCGCATGCACCACAGCCCGCAGGGAGCTGCCAGGTGGGAGTCGTAACCTCAGGCTTCTCCGCCTCTGTCTCTGCCCACCACAGGTTTCAGCCCCCGAGGGGGCGGCTTCAGAGGCCGAGGAGGGGGCTTTGGTGACCGAGGTGGCTTTGGTGGTCGAGGTGGCTTTGGTGGTGACCGCGGCGGCCGAGGGGGCCGAGGAGGCTTCGGCGGGGGCCGAGGGCGAGGCGGCAGCGGCGGGGGCTTCCGAGGCCGTGGGCGAGGCGGAGGAGGGGGCCGAGGAGGTGAGTACTGGAGTGGGGGAGGTGGGAGGGTGGGGTGGGGTTCTCCTTGGACGGGAGAGGGGATGGGAGGGGTTGGGGGCCTCTCTGACTGGCTGTCTCCCCCATAGGCGGGTTCCAGCCCGGTGGCACCCGGGGCCGTGGGCGGGGGGGAAGAAGAGGAGGAGGGAACCAGTCTGGGAAGAATGTGCTGGTGGAGCCACACAGGCATGAGGGTAAGTGAGAAAAGGAGGGGCCCCACCAGGGGTGGGCTGGGGTGGGGGCAACACCCCATCCTCACCCGACCCCCGCTGGTCCCCACACCCAGGTGTCTTCATTTGTCGGGGCAAGGAGGATGCGCTCGTGACCAAGAATCTGGTCCCCGGAGAATCGGTGTACGGAGAGAAGAGGGTCTCGATCTCGGTGAGCCCCGGCAGCCCAGCGCGCTGCTTCTGCAGCTGGGAGCCACTCACCACGTCCTGCTTCCCGAGCCTTCTGGGTGGCTGCCGGTGACTCGGGTTCAAGTCCCGAGCTCTCACTGCAGCCTTGCGGTGCCCTCTGGCCTTGCTCCCAGTGCCCCCTCATTCCATGCCATTCCTCTATGGCCAGGCACTCTCCTGGGCCAGGACTTCCTGCCCGCTGCCCCGCTTATTTTCTGGAAGGTTTTTCCTGGCTTGTCCTCTGCCACCCTTTCCTTAGCCCTGCTCTATCCGCTTCGAGTCCTCTTGGGTCATACCCATGCAGGTATGTTGCTAGTTCCAAAAGCCTGGATTCACTGGTTACAGGAGGAGGGCGGGGGCGGTCTGTGTCGTGTCCACAGTTTGGTCTTTGGAGCCCTGGCCAAGCACACAGCACAATAGCTGTTTGTGCCTTAAACTGTCACCTGATACGGTGCTGTGTGCCTCAGTGTTGGTGACCCGCCGCCACCCATCCTCCCTGAGTCATTCACATGTCATGGCCGCTGCCAGGTACCCATCCCCATCCTTTGGGCAGTGATTGAATGCCTGTCCCTTTTCAAGGCCCTGGGGCAAGGCGAGCAGGGCCTTGGAGGAGAGTCCAGCATTGATGCCCCTACCTGTCTCTGTCCCGGTCCAGGAGGGTGAAGACAAAATTGAGTACCGTGCCTGGAACCCCTTCCGCTCGAAGTTGGCAGCAGCGATCCTGGGTGGTGTGGACCAGATCCACATCAAGCCAGGGGCCAAGGTGCTCTACCTGGGAGCAGCCTCAGGCACCACCGTCTCCCACGTCTCTGACATCGTAGGCCAGGTGAGTACGGGGGTGTTAGGTGTAGGAGGCGGGAGGGAGAGATCGAACAGCTGCTACTCTCCACTAAGGCCTGGAGCCCGCCTCGGCCCTGAGAGAGGGGACTGCTGGAATCAGGTGGGCACCATGACCTTGTTCGGCCACATTGCTGGGTTCATGGCCCTTGAAGGAAGGGGCATGGTGTGGTGCAGCCCAGAGTGTCAGATGCTGGGCTGAATGGTGTCTTAAAAAGCTGCCACCCAAGTCTTTTTTTTTTTTTTTTTGGAGCAGGGGTTCTGGTGCTGCCACCACCACCACCATGCTGGGCAGATGTGCCCAGACCCCTGTCTCCATGGCAACTGTGTCCCCCACTTATCTGGTCACATGCTGTGTCATGGGCTTACTCTCATCCTGGCTGCATAGTTTTGGCCATTGGCCTCTGGACCTCAACAGGCCATGATACGATGGGCAGGACAGCCAGGGCCGGTGAATGGGAGGGTTTGCTTTGGGGTAGGGGAGCAATGCAGCAGGTGGGTCCCAGGTAGGAGTGAGTGTGCCCGTTGCCATGGGCTGGTCTGTTCTAGGATGGCCTGGTCTATGCCGTCGAGTTCTCCCACCGCTCCGGCCGGGACCTCATCAACCTGGCAAAGAAGAGGACCAACATCATCCCGGTCATCGAGGACGCTCGGCACCCGCACAAATACCGCATGCTCATCGGTGAGGCTCGGAGGAGCTGCCAAACTGGCTAAATTTGTATTCTCTTCCCTTGAGAGTATATGAAAGCCCCCACCCCGGGGTGGGGGTGGGGGGCTCCTCATCACAGTCCATAATACACCAACTGAAGGTCGTTTCCTTCCCAGGGGGGCTTTGGTGAATATTGACTTTGTATAAAATGTCAAAGGAGCCATCCATTGATAAGAACAGTTAGGTGTCTGCTTAGCCTGCCTTTTTGTAAAGTCTGTTTTTCACCACACCACTTTTTGAGTGTGTGTGTGTGTGTGTGTGTGTGTGTGTGTGTGTGGTGTTGAAATCACATGGGTTCCAGCACAGTGCTTTTTCTTTGCACGGGTTCTCTGTGCGCGCGCACTCATCCCTTACCCGCCCTGCAGCTCTTCTCCTGGACCAGGTGACAGGCACTTTGCCTCTTACCCACACTTGCCTCTCTGGTGAGGTCTTACCAGCTCCCTCGCCAGTCCCGGAAGTTTCCCAAAGGGCAGGGACCCGGTCTGGGTCGGCAGGGCTGGCCACAGAGTAGGCGGCAACCCTGACTGACAAGAGTAGTGGTGAGATGTGGCTAGGTTTGGGACCCATCTTGGGTGTTGTGGAGGCAATGGGAGGGTGGGGTTCCTGCTGAAATCATGGAGGTCACCAGGGGCCATGCTGGTGATGGGAGAAAGCAGGCCCTGGGGGCAGCTGGGCTGATCCACCTGGGAGCCAGTTACTAATGGCCATTCCCCTCTCTACAGCCATGGTGGACGTCATCTTCGCAGACGTGGCCCAGCCTGACCAGACCCGGATTGTGGCCCTGAATGCCCACACCTTCCTGCGGAATGGAGGTCATTTTGTGATTTCAATTAAGGTGAGAGTCCTCTGGGAATCTGAGGTGTGGGTAAGGGGCCAAGTATCTTGTTGTCTGTGTCTGACAATGGCCACTGAAAGCCATGGGGGTGGGGGCCCTAAAATCTCCCCCTCCCCCAATGCAGACCACAATTCCCAGCCTCTGTTCCTACCCCAGCCCTCCACCTATAAAACATGCAATACTAAATATAATCTGTAAAGCTAAAAGCTTGGTATTTTAAGAGGTAGCATGAGGGGCGCTTCAACAAGTGTATGGGAAACGGAATAAAGACACTGGATCTTTTTCACTGACTTCGAAGACCTTTCGTAAGGGTCAGGTGTTCAGTGCTTCATCTGGGCATGAGTTTGAATCCCAGCATGCAGTGCGAGCCTGGCCAGATTGCTTAACCCTCCCTGTGCTTCGAGGATTTTTTTTTTTGCAGATAAAATCAAAAGATCAGTCAAGTTCCTTGGTGTAGAAGTAAGGATTCCACGTGTATTGTGTATGTGGTGTTTAGATCTGAGCCTGGCGCTGGATAAGCACTTTATGTATCAAAATGATGTTTTTAGGAACTTGGTTTGAAACACAGAGTTCCCCTAGCTAGCTTCCACCCTTCCGTACAGGTGAAACGGCTTTTAGCAAGGCAAGGTTTTACCTAAGGCCTCCAGACCCACATTCCAGCAAAGGAAATTCATTCTTCCAAGGAGACTGTCCCACCCTCACCCCACTATATTACATTCCTGCTGTTGGCCCCTGATGTGTCCTGGGTGCCAATTCACGATGGTCTCACGGGACACAAGGTAGAACTGCACACCTTGAGATTTTGAATGGTGGTGATCCTTTGCCAGAAAAGAATCCAAAATGGCACACTGGTTGGTGGTGTGGTAAGGTTGCTTATTGGGCGAAGTCAGCCATCGAACCCAGCCTAGGCCCCGAGGAAAGGATGGGGCTGCCCCTCGCAGAAGGACGGTGTAACAGACTGAGTCAGAATCGACGCCTGGGCGGGGTTAGTTGGCTTTGTTGCTCTGGCTAGAGATTTGCCAGCGGAAGCAAGTACTTCCGGTTCAAAGAGCGCCTTGACCGGCAAAGCGGCCTGCAAGCTCTCTCTAATCCTGCCTTCCCACAGGCCAACTGCATCGACTCCACAGCCTCTGCTGAGGCCGTGTTCGCCTCCGAAGTAAAGAAAATGCAACAGGAGAACATGAAGCCCCAGGAGCAGTTGACCCTCGAGCCCTATGAGAGAGACCACGCGGTGGTCGTAGGTGTGTACAGGTAAGAGGCTTGACTCCCTGCCCCATCCCCAATCTCTATGCCAATAGGCTCTGACCCCCGCATCTCTCTTTCACAGGCCACCCCCCAAAGTGAAGAACTGAAACCCAGTGCCACCTGGAGTGTGAGATTATGTTGTTGCACGTGTATTTTTCTATTAAAAGACTGATCCGTCCCCTCTTGTCTGTGGCTAGTTGTTGGGTGGGCTCCCGCTGTTGACAACTCCTGCGCATGTGCCCCGGGTCCTCTCGGGAGGGGCGGGCGCTTACCTGGGCACGGCGCATGCCCCATTTCTAGCCGCCCGTGCGCAGCCGTCCTTGGGACTGGGCGCTAGGTGTGGTTGGTAACTTACTGCGCATGCCCGCTGGTAAGCGCCCAGAGCGCAGGCGCTGAATGCTGCTCGGGGGTCACGTGAGGGGGAGCGG